TCACAAACATTTGAAAGACAATCGAAATTTAAATAATAGCAATCATAATAATATCGACAATGTAACAACAGATGATGTAGAAAAAATTATTTTAAGTGCGTATGAAACAGCAAAAGTATTGATTGATTATTTAAAAATGTGTAAATTATTAAAGGAAAATAAAATTTATACATTAAAACAGTTGTCCACATATATATCGAATAGTTTACGATCATCAAGCAATGTAACTGAGAACACAATGATTGATGATGACGTTGACAATGAATCAGATACAAGCAGTAGTAGTGGAAACGAAGACAATGATTATTATGGTAAGGATGATGAAAGTGAAAATATTTCTGAGGGTGAAGATGATGACAAAATACCACTGGATCATTTTGCGCAAGTACGAAATACAACATTCTCAGGTATGAGAATAGTCGAATCTGTCCCACGCGGTGCCGAAAATTTATACTTTACGATAAAAATCAATAATGCAGATAAATATATACATAAAACCACTGCTAGTTGGTTATTAACACAAAATAACAATCGTTTACCATCTGATCGGTTATCGAGAGTCATAGCAACAAGTAGAAAAGAATAAACAACGTATGTGTTTGACTGTTTTTCTCTTTTTATGTGTGTGTTTTGTATTTTTTAAAATCAATATAATGGAAGTCACTATTGTTCAACTACTATGATTATCACTTCCTTCAAGAACTTAGATTGTTAGCATCCATTAGTGCTGTGCATACCATTTCTGAGAAGAAAGCCGATCAACAAATGCAGTGGCAGCGGATAGATCTTTCTTCCCATTGACTACCCAGGTTTGGTCAAAACTACCACAACATATAAATATCATGTCTTCGAAAACTTTCCAAAAACAGCTTCTTACCCACTACCGATGTTCTTTTTCTACTTTTCGTGTTCATAATATCCCGAGAGCTATCGACGTGTTATACAGTAGACTTCGGCTTAACTTTTCTGTTTTTAAAGCTGATTTACGGAGAAAATTGTTGGTTTTGACAAGTTCATGCAAATGTGGAGAGGTAGAGACTGTTCAGCATTACCTTTTGGATTGCGTGTTATAGCGCACTCAAACAAAAACTCTCATAAAAAAGCTCAACGACAACAAACGTTCTTACCCTCAGTCTTGACCTCCTTCTATTAAATATGACGCTTTCGAAAGATGATTTTTTATGTATATATCATGCAGTTATATAGTATATTTGTACTTCAAAACGTTTTTCAGAAGAACAATAGTATGTTTATCTTTCTCTTTTCCTTGTCTTTCCTCTCTCTCTCGCTTTCTGGTCTCAAAACAGACCTGGATTATTAGTTACATTTTTTCATTTTTTTTTATTCTCTCTTTGTATCCTCATACAACCATGTGCGAACATATATATATTACTAAACGTGTGTGAACATTCTTTTCTCCACCTGCTATATTGTTTTCTCCTTTCTTCTTTTACTAGATCTTTCTATTGTTATCACAATATGCATAGCTCTTGTTTTCTCTATCGCCGATAATAATGGGGCTTGTCTCTATTTCGGTGGGTAGAGATAGTATAAATTGCTGATTTCTTTCTTTTTTATTAAATAAATAGCTTATATTAAATGCGAGAGAAGAGAGTATACCACTTGTCACTCCGTCCACTCCGGAGTGAACCGGAGTGAAAGTTCACTCCGCGGAGTGGCGGAGTACGGTGTTTCCCCCTTGGTAAAAAGTCTAATTAGATTTTTGACTTCTACATTACTCAAACCTCTCGAACTCTCTGTGTCAAAAATCTCATTTTTTAATATGAAGAGTTGATTCTAGCGTAGTTCGATGGAGAACATCAATTTGTATAAGAAGAAACCCTTTTCATCGTTCCCGAACGAAATTTAACGCAGAAATTTAACGTTCACCTTCCCGAGGAATCTTCAGAGCTAAAAGTATTTTTTTACCTCACCTTACGGCTAGTTTCGCTCGAAGCAAACATTTTGAAGCAAAACTCTGAGTACAAAAGTTGTTCAGAATCGAAATTTGTAGTCCCATATGAGAGCGTTTTCTAAAATTTTCTGTTTTCGGTTTTTAAAATTTTAAAATTTCGTATTTTTCAATTTAAAAGTCAAAAACAGAAAATTTTAAAAAAAACTCTCATATGGGACTACAAATTTCGATTCTGAATAACTTTTGCACTCAGCGTTTTACTTCAAAATGCTTCGTTCGGGCGAAACTAGCCGTAAGGTTAGGTAAAAAAATCTTCGTGAGCCTAAACCCACCGATATTTTCAAGTTTTGAATTTTTTCTTTTTTTGTTAAGATAGTCCATATTGTAGCCCATGAAATTCTCTGTCAGATGACGTGTTACTTGAATTTTTTTGTTGCGTTGCTATTTTACAAATAAGACTTTATGCTAGCAGAGTAGGCTAAATTAACGATAATTACTACTAATTAGTCAATACCAGGAAGGAAAGAACAAAAATTCTTGTATATTTTGTCGTAATAAATACTCTCTACACATTTCTCTATCGATCTAGACAAGAACCAAGCTTTTGTGATGAATGGAAAATGGACAGGAACTTTTTTAATAATAATCCGTCGTTCAAAAATTTAACAATATTTTTTTCAAGTAATTATGCTTTTCTCAACCAAACAATGTCAGTAAGCCAGAAAGACTTCAGGACATATACTTCGAAGTGTCCATTACAAACTGGGAACGTTAGAGAAACATCCAAATGGGAGAATCCTCCCTTAAGGAGATGAAAAACACTTAGAGGAGTACGATTCTACTAGCTTATCATAAGTAAAATTTTTATGGTTTTTGTTTATTTGTGCAGTGGAAAAAGAACAGTGGCTGATAACAATGAATGAAAGGGCCAAAAGAACGACCATAAAACATGTATTTTAACTGAGCGTAGATGAGTAATAACGAATTTGCTTTTCAATCTACTGCAACGCTCGGTTTATGTGTTCGAGTCTCTGTTCGGACAAAATGTCTTTTAACTCATCATCTACTTCTCTCCAGACGTACCGACTACATAAACATGACAATGGCTATTCATAGAACGCTTAGTTGATGAATGATAAAAAGTGTGTTTGTACAATTTGTTTTTGCAAAATTAAACATTCAATAGTGTATTTTTCACTGTTATAGACAACCTCTTATTGTGCTGATATTACTTTGTTTTCATAGATATTAATTTTAACGAAACACGAAACTATGTGTAACAGACAGCAGCCACCTTTTGTGTCAGTCAATCTTCTGGTCCTCTCCTTTCATGTTTCATCTGCTGCTTTGATTCATGAGATATCGAAAATTTGGTACAGTAACGTGCTAATCGTTTGACGAATATATAAGATTTTCTGGTAGTAAGACATATTCTTTATCAGAATTAGTTGTGGCGATAATCGTACTAACGAGGAAAGGACACCAAGTGATAAATCGCTTCTAGCTTAAAACTTAGTGAACAATAGGTAATCGAGTGTGCTGATTCCGAATACTAACATGAGACGGGCCGCTAGGCCTCCAAAGACTGGATT